ACAAAAAGAGATAAGTAATTCATACTCACTGTATGCATGTTAAACCACATATTTGTGTGTGTGTGTGTGTGTGTGTGTGTGTGTGTGTGTGTGTTTGTTTGTTTTTGCCAAATAATAATTTCAGCATATCAGGGCAACATAAATAAGAGAAATACAAATTGGAACCTGAAGGCTACTTGGATGCCTCTCTCCCCCTTTCCTTCTCTTAAGTCAGATTCAATCTTGCATGCAAAGAATTTTCATTTACAAGATAGATTATGGATACAGTTCTTTGGCTAATTTTTCTTTTTAGAGTGGATGCAAGTCAGCATGTAGCCCACATGTGTTTCTCTACTCAAAGTGAGCGAACAATACGTCTGAAGATGTGGGCATATGGGTATGTGTGTGCCTGCAAGCGTAGACACAGGCACAGGTGTGTTTCTACACACGTATTTCAAGAGATATCCTACCTGTCTGGTCTAGCCCCTCCTCTCTCTGCAGAGGTTCCTCGTACAGATCTTCCTCAAGTCCGCCTCCATGGAGTGAGCCATTGGTACGAGGGAGGTCACTAGAGAACAAAGATCACATAGATTACAGCTTCAGCTTGAAAATGCATACAGCAAAATAAATAAATAAATAAATAAATAAATAAATAAATAAATAAATAAATAAAAGAGGGTGTTGACCATCATGATGTAGGCATATATTTTTGGAGAATATGACCTGAATATGACACAGCCCTACATCCACACCCCTCCGTAAAAAAAATAATAATAATAATAAATAAATAATTAATTAATAAAATAAAATAAATAAAACAGTGACAGAACATTTATAATAGAAATTCACTTAAATAATAAGGATTGCAGGACAAAAATTTGCTTATTTTTCTCAATCTGCCTAAAATCCATTTTATGTTACATTATTTCATCTCTTTTTCAGTGTTTGGTTATCAAACCATGCATCCATATGATATAATATTAATATAAATAATAGCAAAGTCACTGAATCATATTACAAACATGGCTGTCTGATTTAATCATGACAAAAGCCAATAAATACCGCCCACCAATAAAAAGTTCATACTGTAGGGGCTTCAAAAGCGTGTATCTTTCAATTAAGTCGTTCTGGCCACTCCGAAATGTTTACATTGTATTCTATGGATGGCAACTTGTGAGTGTTCAAAGACTATATGGGGGTTGACTGTTAAATGGGAGTTCGCTATCTTTATTGTCGTAATTGGTTGGCCATACATGCTTGTCACATTTAACAACCCTCCTCCAGTATCTTAATCTCTTAATCTCTCATTTTCAGGTTGAAAGAGTCAGAGAAACATTTCTGAGTTTTAAGCTGCAAAGTCTGAGGATCACTCATAAAAATGTACTGCAGATTGCTGAAATCAATTTTTGTTGTATCAAAATATTGCAAAGGTTTGGTGCAAATTTCGTCAACAGGACACACTAATTTATAAAAAAAAAGGTAATTTTAAGTTTTATATGGCATGTAATTAGATTTATATAAGATGAATGAGTTTGCTTTAATTGAGAATAAGATTGCTGTGTCTTGTCATGACATCAAATGTGACAGAATCCCATGTATGGCACTGTGTTAGATGTGACATTGTGTTAGATATGACAATGTGTTAGGTGTGCCAGTGTGTTAAACATGAGTGTGCTGGGTGTGACAGTATTCTCTGTGAGATCACTTACTCAGCATCTAAGTCATCATATAGCCCAACACTTTCTGCATCACTATACTGAAAGAAGAAAAGAAAACATCTTCCAAAATAAATCCTGACAAAGAGTCCATAGAAAAAAAAAAAACTAAAAGGTAACAATTATGTGTTATTTCAAATGGCTTAAATTTTAGACAATCTGATTTAGCAAGTTTTGTTACAAGTCCAGTCTAAACTACTTCATAAGAAGATCTATTTATTGTACACACTTAAAAGTGAACCTGGACATATTATAGCAAACCAGTCAAAAATATAGGGATATTTTCTTCCCAGAAAAAGGTAACTTAGGCATCACATGAATCTATTGTGCTTACTGGGTTTTCATCTTCCTTTTCCTTCGCTTTTCGAGTTGAAGCTCTGGAAATCTGTCGTTGTTTCTCTATAAAATCTTCCTGTTCTGGCTCAGGAGGCGGAGGGACTTCAGGAGGTTTGGGTGGAGCTCTATGGAGGCCTGAAAAATAACAATAGACAATAAATTTATCATAATATATTGCAAGAAGAAAAATGGAAGCTGTAGGCCTTATAAACAGCGTTTACTAACACTACCCACAGATCTCTTAGCACTAACGCCCATATCAATCACAAATCCCATGAATTAACCAACACACCATTCAATCATTTAGCACCAACAAAGCGATGCCTAACACTAACATTCATCTGCTCTGGTAGTGCTGGTGAATTTGTGGATTAGGTGGTTAGTATGTGTGTCAGTACTAAAAGATCTGCGGGTAGTGTTAGTAAATGCCTAATCCATTTATAAAACCTGAGCTGGAGACACAGTCATCTCATGACAACCGTGGCCTCTGAAAATATTACAACTGATGAAGACCCGTAGCCTGGGTCTCAAAACCAGCATAAACCAGCTTTTTTATTTTAGTATTTCCTTGAGTGCTGCTTGTCATGTGTGAACTTCAGCAGTATTTTTGACTAAAATTCACTGGATCAATCATAAATGTTAGACGAGTATATCAACTGCACCATGCACACTTCTGTGAGAGCCATAAATCATAACGGCAGGATACAGTGTGGTGAACACCAATCCAACCCACCACTGTTGGTTGGAGTCCACAAAATGTGAAAATATTGAGAATAAAAAATAAAGAAGTTGGCATTGGCCTGAAGTTCAACGTACAAACTTCCAAACCAGACCACTTTTTTTGCTGAATATCTACAATATCTACTAGAAATTCTTTCAACTTCAATCCTAGAATATGAGTTAAGTATAAACAAAGGACCACACAATACCACACTCAAAGCCCACTGATAGAGTAAAGTAGATTTGTCAAGTATTCTGAAAAATTTATTCTCCTTGAAAGAATTACTTGCTCCATAACGGAGACAAATAGAGGTTCTTGGTATGAAGTGCTTGTGCTTTAGTACTCTTTGTCAAGAATTCACTGAGTGCAGACGAATTGTGCAGAAATATATCGATTTCAGGGCAATTTACATTAAAAAATCATATATATTTTCAATACTGAATACTATGAGTACAAAGAAGACACTGTGCTTGATAAACTGGTTTTGAAAAGAATAATTCATTTTTTTAATATGTATTTCTGGTCCCTATGCAGCTGCCTATAGTCAGAGTAATCTGCACGCCTTAAGTGGAAAAACTGGTGAAAAAATTCTATACTCTATTAGAATAATTCAAAACAAAAAATAAAAACAAGGCAGCAAAGCTGTCAAATGTACAGACAAAAAGCAGACAATAACAATGCACAAAATAGGCTTAGTACTGTTAATTCTGATGCAAAAGTACATTATGCTTAACTGCAAATTCAACATCAAATTTTAATTATGCTCAACAGGTAATACCCATGTAAGTAAAATGTGTAACAAGCATAAGGCTTCAGGCCCATGGGTGTTCAAGTTCACACTTTGAAAATGCCAGAATGAGAAAAATGAAAATTTCACACAAAACTGCATAACTTCAATAATAAATGATAACCCAACTGAGCTGGCTTTCTAATTTGAACTGCATGCCAATCCTAAAAATCATACTTGTAAGTTAAAAATAATAATAAGTAACACAGTTTTCTTTTCATAATCTTAGTAGTAGCAGTGCAAAAAGATTTTTGTCAATTTTGATGTAACATTACATAATAAATTACAGAATAATTATCATCATTTTTTGATTATTGACTATAAATAGGATGGACATGTAGAAAATATGATTACCATTCTGATTCATGTCCATGGGAGCTCTGAGTCCCACAATGAATATGCCAACACGATAAAAATTAATATTTCACTTAAATGTATAACTTCCAGAAAAAGAAGCCAATTAGACTGCTTTTCCAACTCAGGGTGCATTTTAGTCCTGTGTTTCTTTTTTGAAAGTTTGACAATCATAAGTAATACTGTTTTTCCATAATGGTCATCATAGCAGCATCACCAAAAATTGTGTTTTCTTCTATTTTGATGCAATGTTACATAATGCTTAACAGCATAATGACCATCAATTTTTAATAATAAAATATACGTATCATGGATTTTCAGAAAATGTGACTAGCATGGCTCTTCAAGCCCGTGGAGGTTCTAAGTCACACCTTGAAAACGGCAATATGTGAAAAATTAAATTTTCACAAAAAATGTTTAACTGCCATAAAAATTTACCAAACAGACTGCATTGCCTACTGAAGCTGTATTTTAGTCCCATGTTTCTTTCCTGTTAGTTTGAGAACAGTAAGTGACATGGTTTTTCTTAAATGGTCATCATGGGAGCAGTGCCCAAAATAGGGGTTTCTTCAAATTTTGATCCAATATTACATAATGTTTTACAGCATAATGACCATCCATTTTTCATAATAAATTATACCTGTCATGGATTTTAAGAAAATGTGACTAGCATGGGTCTTCAAGCCCGTGGAGGTTCTAAATCACACCTTGGAAATGCCAATAAGTAAAAAATTAAATTTTCACAAAAAACTGTTTAATTGNAATGACCATCCATTTTTCATAACAAATTATACCTGTCATGGATTTTAAGAAAATGTAACTAGCATGGGTCTTTAAGCCCATGGAGGTTCTAAGTCACACCTTGGAAATGCCAATAAGTAAAAAATTAAATTTTCACAAAAAACTGTTTAATTGCCAGAAAAATTTACCAAACAGACTGCATTGTCTACTGAAGCTGTATTTTAGACCCATGTTTCTTTCCTGTAAGTTTGAGAACAGTAATTGACATGATTTTCCTTAAATGGTCATCATGGGAGCAGTGCCCAAAATAGGGGTTTCTTCAAGATGATGGCTATATGTACAGACACATCTGTGTCTGTACATAATAAAGGAAGGTGGGGATGTTTTTGGTTCATGATGATGACGTGCATTTCTCCTCATTGAATATTCATACTACAATTTACTTTGTCTGCATTGGATAAAACAAGTATTGTCATTAAACCACACACAGACTTAAGTTTCTATATCATTTTTGAAAGTATACATTTATTTTTCAGTTTCAATTCAAACAGGTTTATACTTGTTTAACTTTAAAATTTGTAAACTTTCATTATCACATGGAGGGTCCATTTAAGGTCAGAGCTGCTAAGCAGAAAATATATTTAACAAAGATAGCATGCATCAGATCGGAATTCCTGAAAGTAGGTTAAATAAACCATGCCACAAGACCTACCTGTAAGCTTTTCATTTTCTTTTCAAAGTTTTCTGCAGTCTGTTTATGTTGCTCGTTGTCTGCTTCGAAACTTTGGACCTGGTTCTTTAAAGCATCTAACTGATTTTGGCATTCCTACATTGGGACAAGGAATAATGTTATAATTATTATAATCTGATCATTGTAGGCTACAATAATCAGCAGATTTTAAATGAAAACCAAGTCTATCATCAGTAAGGATAGTTAATCTATACATGTACTATGAAACTGCAAAAATTGCCATGAATCAGAAGAATGTTCAATACATCTTTTTATCCTAAAGAATTCATCCACTATTATCCAAGACCTTTTAACATCTTTTAAACCAATTTGCACATGCAAACTTTATTAACAAATTTGAACACTGTTTGGAGCTGTTACTACATATTCCTTACCTCAGTTTTTCGTGTGATCTCCATCTTGTCAAGTTCTAGTCTACCTAACTGTACAGCTAATAAATGTATGTGGTTCACTTTATCTTCATCTTCATGTGTCTTAACCTCTGGTTGTGTTCCCTAAAAATACAACCACCAAATCTATAAAAGTGTCCGCAAAACAATAAAGAATAAACACATATAAAAAACTTCAAAATTTACTTTCCCCCTTTTTTCCAAAATAACTTGACAGTGGGATTACATTTGCTATACATTTTGTGAGCTAAGTTTAACCTGACAGATCATAGAAGGATGGAACAATCTGTAATGTGAATGTTGCTTAATTTTGACACATTTATACTGGAGGGTCCTTGATACTTTAAGTGACAATCTTTTTCTAATTACATAACCATTACCTCATTATGTATTTTTCATAATTCCCCCTGATATATACATATTTTAATCCCACTCTACTCCTATGGAAATGCACAATCTACTGTTTATATGCTCACCTGAAATTCACATCCATAAACTCTGTATGGGCATTCTGCTGGCTTTGCTTGACATATTCTAAAATGCTCTTCAAGCTTGATAAACACAAGACACATAGTTAACATATTTTGTCAAAAGCCATAAGTAAATAAATACAGCATCACAAATCTACAATATACTAAAATGAGAGTATAATAAAAATATATCAGAATATAAAATGTAAAGTACCAGTACAAATCATAAATCAATACAAAACATAGTCTGTGAGTACATGCGTGATTTGAGTAAAACTTTTAAGATTGTCTATTAAGAAAGTTATAGATTGTCATTCAGAGAAATAATTCTAAGAAACTTTGAAGAAATATTAGATAGCAGACCTAACAAATGCTACTAGTAAAAAGATATTGTACCTCCCCTCTTTTAATTCCAGTTGCACCACATTTGTGTGGACAATCCACTTGGACTTCAAGACATGTTTCATCTATGTGTGTCTGCAACCAAGTCAAAACAATTAAATATGTAAAAAAAATATGTAAAAAAAACTGTACAGTTTTAATACCTCTTTGGTAATGCAAAACTATCTAATGTAAAAACTCCAAATGCTTTTGTTGCAATAGACAAATTTAAAAGAATCGCTGAATTTTTTTTTTAATAGCATTAATAATTATCTTCTCCATCCCAATAAGTACTAAGTTCTGCTTTAAAGATACTGAAGATTAACACAACAATATATAGTTTGATTGCTATTTGGCCAGTTAAGGTCAGTGACTCACTATTATTTCTTGCCAAAATCAAGAATGATTTTACAATATTACATTAATCTTACCTCATACTCTGAAAAGGGCACCTGTTGTAGGCAATACCGACATGCTACTGGTCGCTGTGAACATTCTTCAGTCTGGTGATGGTTTGTTTGTATACGTGGAATAAGGTTGCCACAAAATGCACAACACTCAGGGGTATATTCACAATCTGCTGAATGTTTCTAAAATACACACATGAAATATGTAACTTAGGTGTAAAAACATACAGTCAGCCATTCAGTGTAGTTTTACTTCAATAACTCATTAAATTTTCAGCCATTTGAAAGATTATATTAAATTTTTGTTTAAAATAATGTGGACCTTCTAATTAGTACTTACATCCAACTCTTTCCATTTCATCTTTTTAGGGCATCCATAGTTTTTATTTGAGCAGTAAACTTCAAGTCTTTGCATTTCTCTGTGAGCGCTCTTGTCCTTGAAAACCTAGTATATAAAAAAGTATTTATCAAGACAGGGACATAAATTTATACAGATTTTAAAACAGGCAGCAATTCCAGTAAATGATGGTTCATAATAATAATAGAATGACTGCAAATGATACTAAAAGTTAAGTACCAGTCTCTGTAAGATTCAGAATAGGGTGGCACATGACCCTCTCAGATTTTGATGAAAATTGGTGTATTTGTTCATTATAGCCCCAAACCAACATAATGGATATTGGTTTGTTTGAATCACCCTTGGTTGCCGTGGTAACAGCACTTAAAATTTTTCACCCAAGATGGCGGAATCCAGATTGCAAAATTTCAATTTCAGCTATATTTGAGCTAAAAAAACATAAATGTGGATAAATAAACATTTTTCATTTTCAGACATTGTTAAATATCATATCCTATTTGAACTAAAAACATATAAATAAATGTTTTTGGTGGCCTTTAAAAATTAGAAAAATAACTTTGAAAATGGGGAATTTTCAAAAATTCCAATTTTTGCTAAAATGCCCAAATTTGCAAATTTCAAATACATTTTTCATAGACTGGCCAAAGCCATCTATTATCACCATACATTACATAAGAAAGAACATGTACTGTCCTTATATAATCAAAAATAAAATTTTTTTTCAAACACATTTTTCAAAAAATTATTCAATTTTTAAAATTCTTAATCCAAGATGGCGGCAACCAAATTGCACATTTTACATATTTGTGTATATTAAAAATAACAAACATGGTTAGACACCTATTTTATATTTGTATATTGCTAAATCCCAAATCTTGATTAAGTGAAAAACATAAAAAATATTATTTTTTGCTGGCCTTTTAAAATTAAAAAAATAACTTTGAAAATGGGGAATTTTCAAAAATTCAAAATTTTGCTAAAATGCCCAAATTTGCCATTTTCAAATACACTTTTAACAAACTGGCCAAAGCCACCTATTATCGACATACATAATATAAGGAAGTACATATACTGAACTGTTTTAATCAAAAATAAATTTTTTTTCAAACACAATTTTCAAAAAATTATTCAAATTTTAAAATTCTTAATCCAAGATGGCGGCAATCAAATGGCAAAATGTCCCTATTTCTGCTGTAAACTATACAAGCATGGATAAAAACACACATTTCATTTTTGTCCTGCTAAATATTATATCTTGATTTAGTCAAAAGCATATTACTCAATATTTTAAAAAGTCCTAAAAAATTAGAAAAACAACTCTAAAAATGGCAGATTTCCAAAATTTCAAATTTTAGCTAAAATGCCAAAATTTTGCCATTTTCAAATTTTTCATAGACTGGCCAAAGCCACCTAATATTGTCATACATTAAAAGTGAATGTTTTGATTTAATATCTAAAAAATCTTTTTTCAAACATTTAAAAAATATGCAAATTTTAAAATTCACAATCCAAGATGGCATCAACCAAATAGCAAATTTTCCATATTTCCCTATTTCTGCATTAAAAATTAAAATACAAATTTTGTACTTGTGTCGTGCTAAATAACTTGATTTAGTCAAAAGCACACAGGTAAATATTTTTGTGATCTTTAAAAAAACTTTAAAATGATGAATTTTCACAATGGGACAATGGGTGTTAATCTTTCAGGGTCATACAATAACAGCAATATGGTGGTATTCTTTTGGTTGACATCCAATAGTTGAGAAATATCTCCTGCCAGTCTCAGCTTCAGTTTCAATCTCTTGTGGACTTTCTACCACTGTCCAGGAAAAAAAATTCCCTTAATCATAAACTACTATCTATAATGTGCGTGGATTTAGCAGTGCCCACCCCAGATTAATTAACATTTTTATTTGATTCTTTTAATTGTATATGAATATATTTTAAACAAATCACAGTGAAATAAATCTTGTATTTAGTCTTTCTTATTTGAAAGAAAATGAGGCATCTTCTCTGCATAGTAGTAAATTATATGAATATTTATTATGGTGTTCAGCATTTTTGTCACAAACTTAAAATACCAATATATATTTTCTCTCATGCTCCTTGCCCTAAGATGTTCAAAATTTATTAATTTTGCTAATTTTCTTTTGGTATACAACTTATTTGTAAGAATATTTGGTGTAGGTAAAGTCCATTGGTAACCAGCTACACTGTTAGAAGTTGTGATATCAAAGCAAAGCAGTTATCAATGTTAAGGGTGCCTTAACATGATAGTATGTGATGCTTTTTGTCCCCAGAATCATGCATGATCATACATTTTGATGAGTCCAACATCTGCCTCAACACTGAGGACTAATTTGGCATGTTACAATCAGGTAGAAAGTATCATTATGATAATTTCCCCTATTTAAGTTACTATTTACAATTTTTAATGTAAAGAGTTAAGTTAGGTCACCTGGTAGTTTTCAGTAAAGAAATATGAGAAAAAATTATAGATAACACAGACTTTATGATATCAAAACTGTGGGAGCATTATACTACGCAGGACTTGATTAGGTGAGTCTTTAATACAAATAGCATGATTATCAAGGCTTATAAAGCAAATCGTAAAGTAATGCTATCTTGTTTTCTCATTTAGTATTTTTTGTGACTGAAAATCTAATGTACTGCTATATTTTTCCGAGAAAAACTGAGCTGCAAGACTGGTTTGTCAAATAAAGTGCAATAGTACACACCATATCACTCCCATTCTGAAAGGATAAAACTGGCTGCTTGTACTTTGTATTATTTTTAAGGCGATACATACACAAGGACCATTATATTTATGTGATCCTATCTGTTTTAACTCACCATGGCGGTCCACACATTTTAATACTGAGAATGACCTTATTTTAGAACACTCTATTTTAGAGAAGGGGTGCCTCAAATGTTATGGAGATCGGGCTTTTATAATCTATGCCCCCAAATTATGGAACGCCTTACCAAGTTTTATTAGAAAAGCAGACGACTTTGACAGTTTTAAATCCCTTCTTAAAACTCACATTTTGAAATCTGTCTATATCTCTTATATATATATATATATATATATATATATATATATATATATATATATATATTGTTTTTAGTAGTGTTAATTTTAAATGGTTTCCAAGTGTTTCAGATTTAAATATTTATATTATTGTAAGGCGCCTTGAGGTAGCAGGTAAGGCACCATATAAGAATATTATTATTATTGACAGATATCTTTTACATGTCTATTTTATTTTACAAGGTTTTTTATTTAGAAACTAGAAATTTCTTCCACTTGTATGAGCACCAATTTCTACTATATATATTAAGTATTCAAGTAATCTGTTCTGTTATCGACTTCAAGTACCTGAGCGGGCACGACGGGCCTTACAGGGCGCTGTTTTAAATTGGAGGTAGACCATACTCAAGCAGTAAATAGCCGTAAAACACAAACTCACGTTGAACATCAAAACTTTATTAGAAAACCTGTATCATAGTTGACACTGACTTAATTTAGAGTATAGTAACTGACAGTGCTTTACGTATTTGTCGATTATATCGGATATTAACGGCAACTGCACGTGAGGGAGAAGACGAGGTTTTCACAGTGGTACATGTACCTGGTAGTTTTCTTGATATCCATAGTTAGTAAGGCCGATATTATACGACCATAAAGTTCTACCAGTCCTTTCTTGTGGGTAATTTATGAAAAACTGCATATCATGCCGTAAATAAATAACTGTGTGCATTCTCCTTCCACATACGAAACCGACGGCAATCAGAGCTCCCGCCATCTTGGATAAAATTAGTTATGTTGTATATAAAAAAATCGATGTGCGGAAACAAATACTACACACCAGTCGGCATAAAAACAATCCAAGCAATAAATGATCCAGAAGACAAGTGCCATTTATCCAAAAAATATCCATTTCATGAGATAAATAACCTTAATTCAATTTATTTACATCTGAATGAGTTCGTAGTTTAGCAGTCACCGCTACTGCGCATGCGCAGATGGTCTTTTTCGCGTAGTTTTAGCGTTGATTGTTTTTAATGTAATTTAACCATTTTATGTTTTGAAAAAAATTTTATTTCATTTTTTGGTAGCTGAATATATGCTGTAAACATCTTGTATAGCCATCTTACATAACTACGTCGGCCATACGAGTTATTTGTCAGTGAATATGGGGTTACCTGAACATTTTATATAGAAAAGCATATGGGAGAAAATTTTAAGGCTTAAGTATAAAACGCTCTAAAAAATAAATTATTTTAAATATGCAACTTTTCGGGCTCAATTCATTAGTTTTTAGCATAGTTCTTCACAATAAATTAAAAGAAAACAAAATCTGGGAGGGTCATGTTCCAATGCCCCTATGTGTTTCTGATTCTTACAGAGACTGGTACTTAAATAGCTCTCAGTTTCACATTAATTAGTCATGGTAAAATACCATTAGAATATTTTGGAAAATCACCAGGTTTTCAGATAAACATATGAAAATGAAAAGAAAAGTTTATATTTTCAGATTAGTAAAGATAACCCAAACTCAAAAAGAAGTTTTGTGTTTATCATCAATGAGGACATTTTTTACCAATGACATTTTTCTACAGCTAATGGACATTAATACTCACAGAGTTGACATCATTTTTATTCAGTTTGTCACAATCTTCTTCACCACCTGGACACATGACCTCGACCTGATTTTCTCCGAACAGTGAATCAAGGCAGAGTTCACAAATGCGATGTCCACATGAAGTTTGCATTGGATTTAACAGGGCATCTTTACACTTGGCGCACTTATAACGCTCATCAAGGTGGACAAAGTTTGGCCGTTGTTCTGCTGACCCTATACTGGCCACTGATGAACTTCCTGTCAGACTCTCATGGGTGGCTGAAGATGCCATTTTTTGCCCTCTGTGGAATTGTAATATAGAAGCAATCAACAATTAAAGGGATAATATCTCTTCGTATGAGGTCTACATTTCACAATAAAAACATTGTGAATAACTCATAGAAATATAATATATTCTGTTTTACGACAAAAACAACAGTTATAGCTCTTATTCTGATATCTCAGCTTGTCTTCAGACCATGTGACCTCCATTGATGGCCATACTCTGTTATAATCTCTTAAGAGATTTTAACAAAAAACCAAACTTTTTAGAAAGAAACCAGGGACTAACTTTGAATGTAAAAATGGATTCATTAACCATGGTAAGTATGGGAAAATTGTTGTTTACTCCAGGAAAATTCATTTTTTGGCCAAAACGAAGAGTTATTATCCCTTTAAGCAGCATATACAACACTGTATCAATTAAAAATGCAGATTTACAGTGTATCTCCTGAATTAGAAGTACTAGTAAGGAAAACATGCCTAAATCGTAATAAACATCTGTTTTGATAAAACTATTTGCCAAGATGTTGACAAGTCTTGCCAGATAAGAAAAAGCACTTTTTGACTTAAAATCCTGCATTTTTGAATAATCTTTATAAGGGAAACAGTTCTTCTTTAGTTTTAAAATTCATAAATCAATTACTTGAGTATGCCAGATGAAACCACTCAGTAGAAATGTTATAGCCAGGTAGCTATGCCTTTCCGTCCGTAATGCTTATTTTCTGTTGGTAATGATTTTTTATTATAAAATTAATTTGTTATCAAATATGTTAAAAAATTTTTTTGGATATTTGGTAAACATAGCACTAGGATGAGGAAAATATGAAAGGAAATTTTTTTTTTGCCAAGTAGTCTTTAAAAAAAACTTAAAAAATAGAGCCCAAATCATTACGGACGGAAAAAATGACTTTGGATTAATGATTAATTAACTATTTTTTAAAGATTTCACTTGTTTTTTATGTGTTTACCTCAAGGAATTGCTGTAATTTATGTCTCAATTGAAAGATATTGATTAAAATTTATTTTGAGTGTTATATGCAAAAAATAAACAAGGCAGCAAAGCTGTCAAATGTACAGACAAAAAACAGAAAGTACAAAAGCATCAATAGGATACTGTTAATTCTGATGCACTTATGTATTATGCTTAACTGCATAGCCAACATCAAATTTTAATTCTGCGCAACAGTTGATTGGGATGAAAGTAAAATGTGTAACAAGCATTAGACTGAGTTCCCATACTTAGATCAATCTACAAGGATCAATCCAACTCGCAGGGGTTTCTCACTAAATTGCTTTCAGCTTAAGCGGCTAAGGATTCTGGCATGCCAGTTTCAGTAGGACAGCTAAGCCACTTACATTGATTGCAATTTATCAATAATTCCCTTGGAGATAGATCGACCCACAGTTAGCGTGATAGGGTCTGGAAATGGTCCCTAAGGCTTCAGGCTGATAAGCCAGAATGAGAATAAGTGAAAATTTCACAAAAAAATTGCTTAAACTCGATAAAAAATAATAATAACAATTATATATATATATATATATATATATATATATATATATAATTTGATAGAGCTGTTTTTTTAATTTGGGCTGTACGTCAATCCTAAGAATCATTCTTGTAAGTTAAAAAAATACAGAAAATGTTACAAAGTAACAGTACGGGGCTCCTGGTAAATGGTAGTGATAAGTCACATCTATAAAATACCACTTTGAAAAATGAAAAATTAAAAAAGGAAAAATTACAAAAATATTCCACTAAAGCTGCCAATCAGTCTAGCTGTATTACCTTGATATGAATTATCCAACTTGAGTTTAAACAGTGTCAACAACTCACAGAAATATAATATATTTTGTTTTACTACAAAAAGGGCATTATAGCTATTATTCTGATTTCTGAACTTGTCATCAGACCATATGACCTCCATAGATGACTATATTCTATAATAATATCTTAGGAGATTATAACAAAAAAATACTTTTTAGAAAAACAAAAATATTTTTTTTGCCAAAACAAACAGTTATTATCCCTTTAACTGCAAAGTCAAGTTGCAAATATTGCACAACAGGTAGTATCAATAAAAGTGAACTGTTACATGCCCTTGGGAGTTATAAGTCCCTGTTATTCATCTTTAGCATTAATGTAAGCCTTACACAAAATTTTCTTCTGTAAACTTATTTTCAATATAAAACAACATTTACCTGCATAATTATCATTGACTCCTAATTATGTGACACAGTTAACAGAGCTAAACCTATGGGACTTTACAGGGAAATCTCAACGAGTGTTTTATGTAATCTCATTTAATGCCCAATTGAAAATTGATTAAGCAAATTACTTTATAGACCTTAATTTAATTAGAGATCACCCAAGGGAGAATTTCATACTAACCTTTATCCATATACATTTATTGCACCGCATAGTACTTTAAAGAACTGCATTGCTTCCAAAACAGAAAACAATCACTCTGATTTTCCAACACAAGCTGCACTTCAGACCTATAAAACTTTTTTTGTAAGTTTGAGTATCATAAGTAACATGGTTTACCCTTAATCGCTATCCTGGGAGCAGTGTCCAAAATGGGTTTTTTTTTTCAACTTTCATGCAATATAACATAATGCTTAACAGCATAATGACCATCAATTTATAATAATTAAGTAACAGTATCATGGATATTCAGAAAATATAATTTGCAAAGGTCTTCAAGGCAATAGGAGTTCAAAGTCACATCCTGAAAATGTCATTATGTGAAAAATTTAATTCTCACTAAAAACTATATAATTCCCAGAAAGGTTATTTGATAAAACGGGTTTTCCAACTGAAGCTACATTTTAGTCCTATGCAACTTTTCTGTAAGTTTCAGAAGAGTAAGTGACATGCTTTTCTTTAAATGGTAACTATGGAGGCAGTGCGCAAAATAGGGTTGTCTTCAATTTTGATGCAACATTACATAATGCTTAACAGCACAATGACCATCAATTTTTTTTAATAAAAAAATAAAAGTATCATAGATATTCAGAAAATGTGATATGGGAAGGTCTTCTAGACCATGGAAGTTCAGAGTCACACTTTCAAAATGCCAAAATGTAAACAAGAGATAGCTATTACTGAAATGGGATTATTTTCATTTACAACACCTTTTTTACATTAAGCAAAATAATCAATTTATTTTCATTTTTAAATGATCAACTAGGAAAATTGTTGACATAGGAAAAATATCAATAGAACAATTTTAAATGTCCAATTTGCTCCATTTAGAGATTCTGAACATAGTGAATGATATGATTGAATCTGACAAACTGTTAAGAAATGAGTTTATTTCCATTTTTGACACTTTATTACACAATACACAATAACAGGTTTACCGTTATTTTTATATAATCAACTAACAATATTGTTAAGATGCAGAAAATGTCAAAAGAAAAACTTAACATATCTAAATTAGTTAAAAAATGAGACTTACATGCCTGAGAATTAAGTTTAAAGAAAAAACACTTATATACAAAAAAGGCATAACTTCACCAAAACTTAACTGATCAAGCTTATTTTCAAAACTTAATCTGTATTTTAGTAACACTGATCACTCCTGTGAATTTCAAGACAATTGGCCAATCAATTTTCCTTAAAATGTGTTATAGGTGTTGCATACATGCTGAAAAAGGTGAAAAAAAACAGCATAACTTACACAAAAATGGCCCGATCATGCAATTTTTGAACTTGACCTGAGTATTATAGATATTCATCAGATCTGTAAGTTTCAATCCAAAAGGAAAAACGGTTTTCCACTTATCATGTTATCGGTGTTGCATAAATGCTGAAAAAATGGAAAAAAAAACAGCATAACTTCCCTAAAAATGGTCCGATCATGCTGATTTTCAAACTTGCCCTGCGTATTATGAATATTCATCAGTTCTGTAAGTTTCAAGCCAAAAGGTAAAACGGTTTTTCACTGATCGTGTTTACGGTGTTGCACATATGCTGAAAAAACTGAAAAAACTGCATAACTTCTATATAAATGGCCCGATCATGCTGATTTTCGAACTTGACCTGCGTATTATGAATATTCATCAGTTCTGTAAGTTTCAAGCCAAGAGGTAAAACTGTTTTCCACTTATTGTGTTTACGGTAAAAGTGCACACCAACGGCGACGACAGACGCAGGTGACGGCTACATGTACAGACACATCTGTGTCTGTACATAAAAATTCTGTCTGTAATGCTAATTTTCACATTTTTCAAGTTTCACGCGCTATAAAATCATGTTTTCAAAAAATACAGATAAATCTTTTACAAATTCTTATCCCCTGAAGTCTCTTCTTTCAGAAAATGCAACTTTTGACTGCTTTTTGTACATTTGAAAATTTTATGCCCAGGACTCAAACACCACGGAATGGCCCATTATCAGGCACCTAAACATACAATTACAAATAAATAGTGAATTTAACATTATTAAATCAGACTGACAA